TATCTCCCATACATCTGGGGATTACCATGTGGAGGGTTGGGTCGTTGGGGAACAGAATGTGCTCTCCAGGACTGACTTGGTCCAGAAGGTACACGATGGGTGTTTCTTGGTGGACCACGGAATGAGTCGTCGTTGTTATACGGTCGCTGATATTCACTGTGTGGGTTCACTTCACTGTGTGGCGCACTAAGTGTTCTTTTAGGCTCTGTGAATGACATGTCATCGGATCCCATGTACAACTGGCCGTTAATGAACAACTTGTCCCTGACCATCTTCGTATGGTCACCGTGCTGTTTGTGATGCTTCATTACAGGGTAAAGTCTCCTACGGCGGTCCTCTATAGCAGCCGGAAATTGCTCATGGACTCCAAAGCCAGAACCCCTCAGACGGTAGGAACTGTTTTTCACCAACTGAAGATCTTGTTGGTACAAAAATCTTGCAACTATAGGCCTATTTTTACCATGGACATGACGACCAAACCTATGAACGTTGCCGAACTCGATCCTTTGTTCAATACATAGCTCGTAGAAAATGAAATCTCTGATGAGAGACTCGGTATCCTCACTCCTAGATTCTCCTGCAAGGCCAGTGAGCACCAAGTTATTTTTCATAGATCTGCATTGTAGATCTAACACAGTGTCACGAAGAGAGTTCCGTTCTTCTGCTACCTTTTCCACCTTATAACAGATCAGCAATCATTCGTTCCTGATTCTCTATCTTACTACAAACCTGTTGACCTCCTTTGCTGGACTTTTCAAACTCATCAAGTTTATTGGCCACAAAATTTACCATCTGTTCAAAATCCTCAGTTTTCTTTTCTACGTCTACAACTCTTTTCTCTATCCCCGCGACCTTAGAAGAAAGGTTGTTCAACTTACTCTCTATACTTTCCAACATCTCCAGTTTTTTTAGGATAAAATCCAATTTCGTATTTATTTCAGCAACATCATTGTTAACCGGAGTGATTGGTGCTGTCGGAGTAGAGGCTGATGGAGCTTCTGCGTTGTCTGACTTTGTTGGGCTGCTGTAAAGCACACCATTCGCTGCTTGGAGAATCGAACTTAGAAAGCCCGAGGATTGATTGCTAAAGTCGGAAGTGTCAGTGCTTTCATTCTCTGCTTCCTTCTTACGTTTCCTAGATTTTCTACCCATACCGGCAAATCAATCAGAGAGTACAGTTTGATTCTTTTATTAATTAACGATCTAAACAAACACGGAAACAAATTCACAACAGTACGATTTCACCCTTGCGTGAACAGCTACCGGGTCAGTGAAGCGTGACGAAATTCCGCGCATAGTTCAATGTCCAGCTCAAGTAAATAGTGAAAGTGGCGATAGAAAAGTTCAAAGTTCATATTGTAACCAATAGCTTCAGTATAGGCGCATCGAAGATTGGCAATAAATAAAACATTTGGTGTAAAGTAAACAGCATGAATACATGGCGGGATGGCTAATTGAACAGCTTGCGAAATCTCAGATATCAATAAATTCTCTGAACTCGATGAAACACCAAAGTTCTCAGACGTACCTATCGACATTCCTCTGGGTCAGTCGCCATCTTGATCATGCTGGTTTTAAAGGACATAATTAACAGTATTAGGTAATTAGGATTTATGTGGTATTATAGTAAAGTAATGTGTTGATATGTATAAGTAATTTAGTAGCCTTTAAGCGTATATTTCGCTCAGTAACGTGATTTTGTTCGAGTAGTTTATCTATGGAAGCCATGAGTTGTAGTTGTATTTACCTGTGCTAGGGTTGAGTGCGCGCAGGTGTAAAAAAAAGTACGGAAGCCACTCGGTAGCATATATGGTTGCGGTGATAATGAGTTTTGGCATTATTATTGAAAGAAAATGGTCACGCATCCTAGAATTTAATATGTTTGTAGGGTTAGATGTACAATTAGGTTTAGTATTCATAAAGGGAAGTAGAATTGATGGTAAATTATATAGTTAGTTAAGGAATGTCTTTGTTGGATTAAAGTATAGATGTGCGTGAGTGTTTATGATATTTTGTTCATGTTTATTATAGCTTCACACGACGGGCAGACAACTGTGTTATGCTAACCAGCGCCTGCAAAGAATGTAACAGACTGGTATGCAACGGGACCGGCCAGTATTGCAACAGCAACCACCAGAGACACGGTCAGCTACCAGGACGTTGAGAAAAGAGTCAGGCGGGCTATTCATGCAGTGTTGGTGATCCTGGTCTGAGATAGATCGATGATGCTGATATGCATGTGATATGTTGGAATTGTGTTAGCCGTGGGCTACATTTTATATGCACTTCGTGCGCCGTATCGTGCTTGTGGACAACGAGTCGGGACCGGTCAAGATAACTTGTTGAATGTATTTCCTCGCAGAAATGTGACAAGACTCCCAGTGTGTGAAGAAACTGTAGTGTAACATTTAGATAGTAGGTGTGGAAGACAGAGTGGGTGAATGCGAGTGTGTTATTGTCTGTATTTAGTGTAAATAAACTTGTATATATCTGTATTGCAGTATCTCTTGTGTTTTTCCCCGTGAGTGCCGAACTGAGGCAATCAGAAACACTGCCCGAGCTGGGACAAGCTATTCGGAGGCTTGTAAATTTAGCATACCCTACAGTGCCTAGTGATGTGAGAGACACGCTTGCCAAGCAGCAGTTCATAGAGGCACTGAGTGATTCTGAGATGCGAATCAGAATAAAGCAAGCCCGACCTCGTAACCTTACTGATGCTACACGGTTAGCAGTAGAGCTTGAGGCGTATAACCGGTGTGAGAAGCAGTATAGAGATGGACGTAATTTTCTGCGAGCGACTACTGCTGGTACTGGGGCAAGCACTAGTGATGTTGTACCACCTAGCCCTTAGAAGGATAACACACCGAATGCTGAGTCATCTGAAATGGTCACACTATTGAATATCCAGAGAAAACTGGCTACTCTGGAGACTGATGTGCAAAGGATGAAAGAAAAAAAGGATAAACAGCAGAAATTAAGCCAGGCACGAGCGAGTGGAAAGTCATGTTTTTATTGTAAGAAAGAAGGGCATTTCCAACGGGATTGTCCGAAACTAAAGAAGAAAAGAGGAAATGAGACCAACAAACCAGCAGCCCAGCAGGTGGGGTTAAACGTGAGAAGAAAAGGAAGGCAAAAGCTAGTATTGGTGCATCAGTGGTGACACCTGAGGCTGGCATGTACATAGAAGCAGATGTACATGGCGCTAGAGCATAAATGTTGGTAGATACGGGAGCAACGGTCACTATCATTTCTGAGAGAGTGTTTGATAGCATTGCTCATACAGCCAAACCTAAACTAAGCGAGGTACACCTCTTCACCGCCGGAGGTGACAAGCTACATGTAGTCGGTCAGGGTAGCTTTATAATCCGACTTGATGCCTACAAAGACATATACGTTGAGGCAGTTATAGCTAGGATTAGTACAGATGGTATACTAGGGCTTGATGTCATGAGAGACATGGGTCTCTCGACTTTCGGAATGGTCGTTTGACACTGGATGGTGTGGACATTGCTACTCGGTATGAAGGTGCAATGGGTTGTTTCAGGGTATACTCTACGGAACATGTTTTGTTGCCAGCAATGAGTGAGGTCATGATCACTGGTAAAGTGTGCACACCACCAGATAGGCACTTACAAGGTACTATGCTTCTAGTTGAGGGTGCTGAAACCTTCTTACGACAAGACACAGCTCTAGCTGGGAGGACATTAGTGGCGAATGTTCCTGATATTCCCGTACGTATGATGAACCTCTGTGCAGAAGGACAAGAAATATACCCAGGCACAACTATCGGACAAGTGTGTGCTGTAAATGATCACCAGAAACCGGAAGTAACAGAAAAGTGTAAATCCAGACCTGTCGCTAGTTAAGCCCATTTTACGAGAGATGCAGCTTATCATTGTTCCTGTCTGTCCGAAGATTAAATACTCGTTGTTGTTGGTGGATTGAGTCCATAAAGATGGCTACGCTGATTACTTAATGCTTAATGAATTTCAGTGTTTTAAAAATTTCTTTTGTCCGTTCTTTGTATTCTATGCGTCTCGGTAGCTAGGTGGACGAAATCACAATAATTTTTTTAATTAAAAATGATAAACAAGTTTATGTTCGTATGAAAGAATCGAATTATTACGTTAAGATATTGCATCAACTTCATATAAACGAGTAGATGAAAAAGTCTTATGCATGTTTCGCACGTGCCGCTTTTGGCGCACGTGAGACATGTAGACATTCGACAGTGGTGACAAGTACAGGGCTGCATTCGCGTAACCGGGTTAAAACGGTTCAGAAGGCCTGGAATTATTCCGTTACACGCGAACGCACGTGTACCAGATGTTTAACCTGATATGTAAAGCTCACATTGCACAGTTTTAACAACAAACTTCAACACCTGATATTTAAATATATAAAAAAAAACTGTCTCAGAAAACGATTCAAAACATCCTTGAAATTATGAAATTCAGACCCCTCGCCTGGGTATACCTGTGTTGGAGTCATAAATTTTAAATGATGTTCGTTTGGGAGAATCAAGGCTGACAATGATAATAATCAGCACCTGGGTGTTGTATATAAGCCTGGTTTTCCTGGCTGGAGCCACGGTTTCAAAATTTACGCCTTTTCACTGATAAGTCCCAGATCAATGGGCGTAGATAGGCCTAGTATGATAACGAAAAGTTGGTGGTGTAGAGACCGTTCGTATAACGCGGTCCTGATTGTTTGGTGTAGAAAAGTGATATTCACCTGTGTGTTTGTAGTAGCTATTTTGAATGATCAAATTGACAAATACATTGTGAAAATTCGGTTGTTTAAAGTACATATTTAAGATACTGGATTTTGTTAACCAATCATTAAGATTATGTGTATGATATGTATTGACAATACAAAGAGTAAAATCGTCGGTGTCGACCCAATTTACAACTCATACTTAAACGTCCGGTTTGTTTGATGGCAATAGTCCTGAGTAATTTTATTGCCAGTAGCCCGAGTTGGGGACAACCACACTTCGCATCGCAGACACCCGTTGTAATAATCAGTCTATACACGAAATTCGTTACGGAATGTGTGCTAATATATTTTAAAGATTATGTAAACACATAGATAATGCTATAAATAGTTTTTTGAAACAGGAGATCAGGTCATCCGACTGCTTCCGGGATAGGCATACAGTCTAGTTGATACCAGTAACGGATCCCGGGCAATCTTAAGGTTAGAGACCATATCTATACCATATCATACAGTATATATTTCTATATAGAAAATACACGATTGTGTAATATAACATGTGTTTTGGCGAGAGTGAAGAATGACCATGTACGCTTTTTATCAGACAACATTGGATGAAAATCATACTATTGAAACAGTTTAGCAGTTCAATCTGTGTTTACAGTTTACATTATGTTGACGTTAACTGAATTTTGCCTGATGATGGACGCCAAAATAATTGCTCCACGTGGAAATATAGTTCCAAACTTCATCGATTATAACAACATTTTTATGAATATTTATAAATCAACATGGTCATAACAACATGTGCAATCGCTTATTTCAACAAGTAATTATATTTCTAAACGTAATATTTTAGTAAACTACGAGAGTAATTCTATCGGAATTACCGCGCGTGCAAAAATACAGGATAAGCAAACCTGCAAGTGGCACTGCCATTTACAACTGTATTTTAGCACGTGCGTAATTAGACCGAATTATTTTCTGAATTTGCGTTTAAAAATATAAAGAATTATTGAAATTTGTGATTTTGTATGTTGTAATGAGTTAGTTTAATTACGAAAATTCATAACATCGCTATCACTCCGATGAAGTTTTGAACTACATTTCTGCGCGGAGCAATTATTTTGGAGTACACCATCAGGCAATATATACAGCGTCACGTCAACGACAGGTGATCAGAGATTGAATAATGAACTGTTGAAGTTTTGATTGTCTGATCTCTAAATATTGTTGCATGATAATTGAAATACATTGACAATGTATTTTCTATTTATCAGCATTATATCAGCAGTGTGCATACCATGGTTACACACATCAACAGAACCTACATTTAGATGACGTAGTTGTAAATATCAATATTTACCTATAGAAATTTCAATCATAATTAGGGACGTATATCAAACATAGATTAAAAAGCCATGTTCACAGTTAGTAAGATTGGTGTATAACTCTTTCCATACCATAAATGGTAAAAAAATGTTTTCTTTAAAAACAGATATTTTTCAGAAATGTAAATTTACCTACCTGTGACATTAAGAAAGGTAAATTTACCTACCTGTGACATTCAGAAAGGTAAATTTACCTACCTGTGATATTCAGAAAGGTAAATTTACCAACCTGTATCGTTCAGAAAGGTAAATTTACCTACCTGTGATATTCAGAAAGGACAATTTACCAACCAGTGACCAAATCAAAAAGACCAGTTTAGCTGACAGTGACTTTCACAGACAGGTAAATTTACCTACCTGTGACCTGTAGAAAGGTGAATTTACCTACCTCTAACATTTAGAATGGTAAATTTGCCAACCTGTGACCCACTCAAAATGACGAGTTTAGTTAACTCTCTCAGACAGTTGAATTTACTTATCTGTAACAAATTCAGAAATGTGAATTTACCTACTTGAAATAGATTCCAAAAGGCATATTCAATGAGAAATGATGCATTCAGAAAGGTAAATTTACATACCTGTAAGACACTCAGGTGGGTAAAGTTACCTACTTGTGACACATTCAGAAAGGTTAATTTACTTACCTATGACACATATAGAAAGGTTGATTTACTTACCTGTGACACATATAGAAAGGTTGATTTACTTACCTGTGACACATATAGAAAGGTTAATTTACTTACCTGTGACACATATAGAAAGGTTAATTTACTTACCTGTGACACATATAGAAAGGTTGATTTACTTACCTGTGACACATATAGAAAGGTTGATTTACTTACCTATGACACATTCAGAAAGGTTAATTTACTTACCTGTGACACATTCAGAAAGGTTGATTTTCTTACCTGTGACACATATAGAAAGGTTGATTTACTTACCTGTGACACATTCAGAAAGGTTAATTTACTTACCTGTGACACATATAGAAAGGTTGATTTACTTACCTGTGACACATATAGAAAGGTTGATTTACTTACCTGTGACACATATAGAAAGGTTAATTTACTTACCTGTGACACATATAGAAAGGTTGATTTACTTACCTGTGACACATTCAGAAAGGTTAATTTACTTACCTGTGACACATATAGCAAGGTTAATTAACTTACCTGTGACACATTCAGAAAGGTTAATTTTCTTACCTGTGACACATTCAGAAAGGTTGATTTACTTACCTGTGACACATTCAGAAAGATTGATTTACTTACCTGTGACACATATAGAAAGGTTGATTTACTTACCTGTGACACATTCAGAAAGGTTAATTTACTTACCTGTGACACATATAGAAAGGTTGATTTACTTACCTGTGACACATATAGAAAGATTGATTTACTTACCTGTGACACATATAGAAAGATTGATTTACTTACCTGTGACACATATAGAAAGATTGATTTACTTACCTGTGACACATATAGATTGATTTACTTACCTGTGACACATATAGAAAGATTGATTTACTTACCTGTGACACATATAGAAAGATTGATTTACTTACCTGTGACACATATAGAAAGATTGATTTACTTACCTGTGACACATATAGAAAGGTTGATTTTCTTACCTGTGACATATTCAGAAGGTTAATTTTCTTACCTGTGACACATATAGGAAGGTTGATTTACTTACCTGTGACACATATAGAAAAGGTTGATTTACTTACCTGTGACACATATAGAAAGGTTGATTTACTTACTTGTGACATATTCAGAAAGGTTAATTTACTTACCTGTGACACATTCAGAAAGGTTAATTTTCTTACCTGTGACACATATAGAAAGGTTGATTTACTTACTTGTGACATATTCAGAAAGGTTAATTTACTTACCTGTGACACATATAGAAAGGTTGATTTACTTACTTGTGACACATATAGAAAGGTTGATTTACTTACTTGTGACATATTCAGAAAGGTTAATTTACTTACTTGTGACACATTCAGAAAGGTTAATCTACCTAGGTTAATTTACTTACCTGTGACACATTCAGAAAGGTTGATTTACTTACCTGTGACACATTCAGAATTCAGAAAGGTTAGTTTACTTACCTATGACACATATAGAAAGGTTGATTTACTTAGACACATATAGAAAGGTAATTTAATTTACTTACCTGTGACACATTCAGAAAGGTTAATTTACTTACCTGTGACACATTCAGAAAGGTTAATTTACTTACCTGTGACACATATAGAAAGGTTGATTTACTTACCTGTGACACATATAGAAAGGTTGATTTACTTACCTGTGACACATTCAGAAAGGTTAGTTTACTTACCTGTGACACATATAGAAAGGTTAATTTACTTACCTGTGACACATATAGAAAGGTTGATTTACTTACCTGTGACACATATAGAAAGGTTAATTTACTTACCTGTGACACATATAAAAAGGTTAATTTACTTACCTGTGAAAGGTTAATTTACTTACCTGTGACACATATAAAAAGGTTAATTTACTTACCTGTGACACATATAGAAAGGTTGATTTACTTACCTGTGACACATATAGAAAGGTTAATTTACTTACCTGTGACACATATAAAAAGGTTAATTTACTTACCTGTGACACATATAGAAAGGTTAATTTACTTACCTGGTATCACTTATTCCTTATCACAGAATATTTAGTCTAAAATTATCGTAAATAAGAATGCTACATGAAATGGTTGAGGGGCATGACCCTGATAAAATAACAATGTACTTAGTATTTAGTTGCATTCAAAGTTGTCTTTCTTTGTTTTCAAGGTCATCCTGATATACCAACATGACAACCAGAGCATGTAACCAGGAAATGAATTCCCGCCATTTAAAGCTGCTGAATGAATTGGCCAACTACTTTGATCCAAAAGTTGATCAACATGAATACGACCAGTTCATGAATTCCTTTCGTGCTTTTTTATCACCATTAGCGATGAAAAAATCACATAATTTGTTGGAAGCATTCAAGAATTTAGAAAAAAAGGGCACACTTGCTGTTGGAAAATATGATGAATTGAGGAGCATTGTTAGAAATTTTAATGTTGCACTAGTACCAATAATTGATGATGCAGAGCAAGACATTGTCAAATTACAAACCGAAGCTGACGCCAGACCACCCAGCAGTCGAACAGATGTAACTAGTAATGTCACTACTTAATTATTGTCATTCTCTAGCTCTGTATGTTAATATAGGTGTTTACAAAGTCAAAGTGATGGTGTTTAATGCAAAGTTTTTATATCAAAGTCACAGTGATTTTGCCTAGTCCTATATGCCAAATTCTATTTCATTCTAGATGTAACATAGCTTTTGATTGGTAGATGAAAATAGTTTGCCTCAATATAAATGCTATGTACCATCAACAAATTTCTCATTTGCATATCCAGTTCATACAATGATTGATAACGACTGCAATGACCCTGATTGACCGTTGCATGTCATGAAAATGACTACAGGAACAAAAGCATAACCCCTTATTTTTATATCCTTCAGGTGGAATACATGTCCAGCCTCACTCAACAGTAAATACAGATACACCGACAGCTCCTAAACGTAAACGTGAACAAGGTTAGTGCTATGTATCATTGCACCATGAATTGTAATATAATAGTTTATTGATCTTATGCTGGCAGTTGGATAACCTTGAAACCAGAAATCTGTAATAGCTCCTAGACCCCAAGAACTTATTTGTGAAATTCTATTGTTTAAGTTTGCATTTCAGTTATGTTCAAGGTGTAATCCATCAGCTAAAAATACTGAAGTTTGTTGTTGACTCAAACTAGGGGACTAATATTGTAAGTAACAATAAACCAAGCTCCTAAAAAACCTCAAATCATACAGATCTTTATTTCTAAATGCCCTTATGCTCTGGTCTGTGTGAATCTAAACATTTCCTGAATTTTTGTGAGCCTTAATCTCTGTGACCTGTATGAACCTTATTCTTCCTGAACCTGAGCCTTACTCTCCGTGACCTGTATGAACCTTACTCTTCCTGAACCTGAGCCTTACTCTCCGTGACCTGTATGAACCTTACTCTTCCTGAACCTGAGCCTTACTCTCTGTGACCTGTATGAACCTTACTTTTCCTGAACCTGAGCCTTACTCTCCGTGACCTGTATGGACCTTATTCTTCCTGAACCTGAGCCTTACTCTCTGTGACCTGTATGAACCTTATTCTTCCTGAACTTGAGCCTTACTCTCTCTGACCTGTATAAACCTTACTCTTCCTGAACATGAGCCTTATTCTCCGTGACCTGTATGAACCTTACTCTTCCTGAACCTGAGCCTTACTCTCCGTGACCTGTATGAACCTTATTCTTCCTGAACCTGAGCCTTACTCTCTGTGACCTGTATGAACCTTACTTTTCCTGAACCTGAGCCTTACTCTCTGTGACCTGTATGAACCTTACTTTTCCTGAACCTGAGCCTTACTCTCTGTGACCTGTATGAACCTTACTTTTCCTGAACCTGAGCATTACTCTCTGTGACCTGTATGAACCTTACTTTTCCTGAACCTGAGCATTACTCTCTGTGACCTGTATGAACCTTATTCTTCCTGAACCTGAGCCTTACTTTCTGTGACCTGTATGAACCTTATTCTTCCTGAACTTGAGCCTTACTCTCTCTGACCTGTATGAACCTTATTCTTCCTGAACCTGAGCCTTACTCTCTCTGACCTGTATAAACCTTACTCTTCCTGAACATGAGCCTTATTCTCCGTGACCTGTATGAACCTTACTCTTCCTGAACCTGAGCCTTACTCTTTGTGACCTGTATGAACCTTATTCTTCCTGAACCTGAGCCTTACTCTCTGTGACCTGTATGAACCTTATTCTTCCTGAACTTGAGCCTTACTCTCTCTGACCTGTATAACCTTACTCTTCCTGAACATGAGCCTTATTCTCCGTGACCTGTATGAACCTTACTCTTCCTGAACCTGAGCCTTACTCTCTGTGACCTGTATGAACCTTATTCTTCCTGAAATTGAGCCTTACTCTCTCTGACCTGTATAAACCTTACTCTTCCTGAACATGAGCCTTACTCTCTGTGACCTGTATGAACCTTATTCTTCCTGAACCTGAGCCTTACTCTCTGTGACCTGTATGAACCTTACTTTTCCTGAACCTGAGCCTTACTCTCCGTGACCTGTATGAACCTTACTCTTCCTGAACCTGAGCCTTACTCTCCGTGACCTGTATGAACCTTACTTTTCCTGAACCTGAGCCTTACTCTCTGTGACCTGTATGAACCTTATTCTTCCTGAACCTGAGCCTTACTTTCCTTGACCTGTATGAACCTTATTCTTTCTGAACCTGAGCCTTACTCTCTGTGACCTGTATGAACCTTATTCTTCCTGAACCTGAGCCTTACTCTCCGTGACCTGTATGAACCTTACTTTTCCTGAACCTGAGCCTTACTCTCCGTGACCTATATGAACCTTACTCTTCCTGAACCTGAGCCTTACTTTCCTTGACCTGTATGAACCTTATTCTTTCTGAACCTGAGCCTTACTTTTCCTGACGTGTTTTAAATTTACTTTGCAAGATCTGTGTGAACACCAAAACTTGTCTGACCTGTATGCTCTTTCTCTCATTGATCTGTATCAATCTTATATTGCCTGACCTGTGTGACTTTTCTGTCATTGACCTGTATAAACCTAACTTTGCTTGACCTGTATGAACTTTGTCTGACATATTTGATCCTTTTCCTGACATGTATGACCTTTCTCTCTACCTTATGAACTAAACTTTGCTTGAACTGTATGATAATTAAACCTCTTTATTCATGATGATATATATACTGTGTATATATTGTTTTGATGACACTGACCTATGCTACACATTACAGTGGTAGTAGCAGTAATTTATCTATGTTTCAGATTATATTTACAATGATGGCAATAAGAAAGGTCTGCTGGTGATAATCAATATCACACAAAACAGGGCAGGTAATGTTGTTGGTAAAGAGGAACACCAATTAAATGTAGAGCAAATGCTTTAAAATCCTACTCTTCTTAAAGGAATGGTTGTATTTTGCTTTAATATGGTCAGAAGCTTTGGTGGTTGAAGGGGAATTTTGTATGAATTGTGGGTCTTTGCCCCCCAGGGGACAGAGGGGCAAGACCTGTAGAGGAAATAGAGCAAATTATTTTAAGTCCTACTCCCTCTGTGGGAATGATTGTGCTTTACCCAAATATGGTCATAGTGGTGGATGGTTGGTGATGGGTCATCAGGTGGTGGATGGTCGGGTACCGCAGTAGTAACACACTCACCTTTCACCAAGCTGTCCAGGATTTGATTCCCAGTACAGACATGAAAAGATATGGGGTCACCTGTTTGACCATGTTGGTTTTCCCCAGGTACTCCGTTTCCCTCCAACAGTCACATCCCCTACATGCATATGGGCCAACAAGAGTGATTTATATAGGCTGATATCTTGTTTCACAATTGTTGTAAAATAACCAAAGGTTATTTCTATGTATACAAATATGGTGAGAAGCATTCTTGGGTGAAGGGTTTTTTCAATGAAGTTTATGATCGCTTTTTTCTTGAAAAGTAAAAGATGGATCTCTCTCAAATTTCATATGTAGGTTCCCCCTGGTCTCTAGTTGTGCCCATGTAATTTTGGGACTGATCAGGAAAAAAAATGGCTGAAAGGCAGCCATCTTAGAGTGTTTGTTTTCGGTATTTCTTGAGAACTACAGCGTAGATCTTCCTCAAATTTCATGTATATGTTTCCTTGGTCCCTAGTTGTATTTGAGTATTTTGGATCATTCTCAAATTTCATGTATAAGTTCCTTTAGGTACCTTGTTTTGCCTGTTTGAGTTTGGGACTGATGAGAAAAACAAAATGGCAGGCAGGCAGCCATCTTGGATTTTGCCTTGTATAGATTGTTAATGCTATTTCTTAAGCGGTACTGAATGGATATCTCTGAAATTTCATATGTATCCAACATTCTAAGAGCATGTAAAGATCAAACAATGGTATATGACCTTTTTGATTTGCCAGTATTACAAGATGAAATATGTTTTATTACAATAGAAAATAACACTTTCAAATGGTTTGCTGTTTCTTAATATTTCACTGGTGAAAATGTAATGAATTCTATTTAAAATCAGGTATTGTTTGTCATTGGTGAAGGTGGGTGAGTCAAGGTCACACTCAAAATGAAAATATATACCAAAAAGGTTGATCAGTTTTATTTGGAAGTTAAACAGATAAATATAGTACTACATAAAAAATGTACTTCAAGTCTTATATATATGTCTGTGGAGATTGTACATAAACTTGTCCATAAGGATTTTACTTCCTCTTAAGAGGAAGAAGCATTTTTGTAGTTATTGAAAATGCATTTTTACACCTCAGGTACAGAGTATGATGAAGCAGGTTTAAAGAAATTTTTTGAAGATGATCTGCAATGGGAAGTGGAGACACGCAAGGATTTAACGTATGACAGACTAGACAAGTACCTTGATGGTTTAAAAGAACGTCTCACTGATCGTGATACTGCCAACAAGTATTACTGTCTTGTGGTTACTGTCATGAGTCATGGAAACAAGGTACTGCTTATCAACTTCAAATTCTTTATATACTGTGTCATTCCTATATTGTATCTATACAGTTTGTATACTGTATCTTAACAGTATCTGTTTATCTACTGTATTCTACATGAATTTTGAAATAACGAGTTTCGACTGTATCCCTGTACTGTCCATCTATTATCTACTGTTGCTTGTCCTAATATACCAATATCTTTGTTACAGGAGGGAATATATACATATGATTCCAGTAAAGAAGTGAAAGAAAAGCAGGTGTATGAATTTGACAGGATTTTCAAATGTTTCAAAAATGACGAGATAAAAGCATTTACAGGTAAATTAGCAGTGCAAGTTTAAGTATTTTGGGTAATTTTTTTTATCTTTTTTTAACTCACCTTGCCATGATGTGGTCTCTGTCTATTCTGCATCAACTTTTTCTAGAGTCATCTTATTTGATCAGCAATTGATTCTTGGAATAAACCCCTCCAAAGCCGCAAAAAGAAATGACCCTTTCCTATAATCAAGGTTACAACGACCAAATTTGTAAATAAAATTCAAACAGCTTCATTTGATTAACCAATAGGCTTGGAATCATGATGTTTGTCTGGAAGTCTGCTTGGATAAAGGGTGACATAATTTTAGCATAAGAATTAATATTGGCCCTTATTCAAGGTCACAGGATTCAAATTTGTCAAAACCTTCAAACAACTTCTTCTCATTTACCAAGAAGTGAATGTCAATGATGTGAAATGTTCATGTATCTATTAAAAGCAATTCAGGTGAGCTGCAGGCCCATAAGGCCTTTTGTACTAATGCATTGTAAATGATAGTACAATAATACTCTTGATATGTGATCATGTAGTTAAAAATCTTGCAGTACATAATCATTACACTTTTACTAAAGAGGAGTTACGTGTGATTAACTCAAGGAGTGAATATGATATGTTTTATCATTTTTAGGGAAACCCAAAGTGTTTCTGATACAGTCATGTAGAGGAAGCTCTATCCAAGGGGAGGTAACCAGTGATGACAATAACACAATGGAAATTCCAGAGATACCAGACTCCATTGCTCAACCTGCTGTCCGAATCACCGTTCCTGTAGATGCTGATATGCTCATCATGTGGGCAACAACACCAGGTCAGTTGATATTCCTACACCCTGTCACTAACGTTAATCTTATCTGTCCTAAAAAATAATCAGACCTGGTGTAGACATTAACCTTACCTTGTCAGGACATTAACCAGACCTGGTGTAGACATTAACCTTACCTTGTCAGGACATTAACCAGACCTGGTCTAGACATTAACCTTACCTTGTCAGGACATTAACCAGATCTGGTCTAGACATTAACCTTACCTTGTCAGGACATTAACCAGATCTGGTCTAGACATTAACCTTACCTTGTCAGGACATTAACCAGATCTGGTCTAGACATTAACCTTACCTTGTCAGGACATTAACCAGATCTGGTCTAGACATTAACCTTACCTTGTCAGGACATTAACCAGATCTGGTCTAGACATTAACCTTACCTTGTCAGGACATTAACCAGATCTGGTCTAGACATTAACCTTACCTTGTCAGGACATTAACCAGATCTGGTCTAGACATTAACCTTACCTTGTCAGGACATTAACCAGATCTGGTCTAGACATTAACCTTACCTTGTCAGGACATTAACCAGATCTGGTCTAGACATTAACCTTACCTTTTCAGGACATTAACCAGATCTGGTCTAGATATTAAATCTTACCTGGTCTAAGTGTTAAACGAGGTCTGGTCTAGACATTAAACCTGACCTACTGGAGACATTAAACCTGACCTGGTCTAGACATCAACCTTACCTGGTCTAGGCATTACACCTGACCTGGTCAAGACATTACACCTGACCTTGTCTAGACATAAAATCTGACCTGATCTAGACATTAAATCTGACCTGGTCTAGACACCTGACCTTGTCTAGACATTAAACCTGACCTGGTCTGGAAATTAAACCTGACCAGGTCTAGACATTAAACCTGACCTGGTATAGACATTAAACCTGACCTGGTCTAGACATCAACCTTACCTGCTCTAGGCATTAAATTTGATCTGGAACAAACATTAACCTGACCTGGTCTAGACATTAACCTTACGTGGTCTAGACATTAACCTGACCTGGTCTAGACATTAAACCTGACCTGGTCTAGACATTAAACCTGACCTGGTCTAGACATTACCCTGACCTGGTCTAGACATTAAACCTGACCTGGTCTAAACATTAACCTGACCTGGTCTAGACATTAACCTTACCTGGTCTAGACATTTTACATTTAGCTTAGTAACCTGGTCTTGCAGTCTGATTAATTTTGATGACAATTTTTTATTTTCAACTTGTCTGTCATCCATAATTGTTTCCTTTGAAACAATACTCCGCAAGCTTCTTTACTTACCCAAGTGGATTTTAATAACCAAAGTTGGGGTTTCCAGCAACGCTAATTTCCCATAAAGGTCGGCCAAAAGATTTTTTCAGCCTCTGAGACCACTTAGCGAAACATGGCTTTTTAAATGTCTTCCGTATTCAGTCCATTCAAAATGACTTAGCATATACATAGCTTTATCTCTTATCGTGATTGAGACTTTACCATTTGTTCAAAGTGTTGATTTTTGGCTTTGATGTGTGTCACCCCAATGACATGTTGACAAGCTCTAAGCTTGTTTTCCCGTCCCATAAAATTACCTGTATCTGTCAAATTGCTGATCATTGAATAGATATTGTTTAAACTAATGATATTGGACATAGGAGACCACTCTGTTAGACTACAAGCCTTCATGTACACATGTGACTTACTTAATATATAATAACCCCTAGCAGGCATACAAATAATGCAGTCCTTGAATCACTCTATCTGTCAGTTATAATTAGGATGTTATATGATCGATAGCTACTATACATCTCTAAAGCTATATATTATATACTCTGTTATCATCAATTGTTCTTTTGACATTACTTTCTACATTTTCTACTAAGACGGAGACTTTAACCACCTAATACAGTGCCGTTCTCACAATGAGAGGTAGATGTGTAAGTGTGGGTTGTAAAGTTGTCTTTAGGAGAGACAATAAAACCAAGAAATCTGCTAGAAATATAAGACTTCCCCAGCACAACTGGTTGTATGATGTTTTAAAAGCATATGACAACTGTTGATCGAGAGGCGTGTGTGCAAAGTGCGTTAAGAACTATTATAAGATAAAGTCACAACATAAAGGTCAAAACGTTAGTGTTGATGATGATAAGTGGCTAAACATCCCTCTATTATCCATAGAGGATCTATTTTATGGCCAGTCGTCCCACACAAAATATGCACTGTGTATGAAGAGTCTCAATAGAAACACCACTATATTGCCCAAGTGTGTAAAACACCCAACTCATCTTTCATCACACGCTTTGGTGTCCTTGGTCCCCACATACCTGTTCACATCATCACATAGGGAAAGATCTTTAATGTAACGTTGAAATCAGCACTGATGAAAGAGAAATGTTGACTTCCCAGCTACCTTCCAGATCAAACAAAATCATCAATGATCTTTAGGAGATATCACATATGTTATCAAAGCAGGAGTCTTCTTTATCTCTGCATTTCTCCTCTCAGGATGATGTAGATTATAAAGCCTAGACTGGTTGGACAAGAACATGATTTCTAGAAATTTCCTTCTTATTATTCATCCTCTACTGGCACTGGTGTTTACACTCCAAGCCAAGGGGATGCACTAATGTTGTCCTGGGTAAAAAATAAAGACAGACATATCATGGAAACAGTGTTTAACTTTTTTTTAACATGTCAATCTCCATTATGTCTGAAAATATTTCATTCTGTCATGACAACATTAGGTATAACCATTGTTCCTTTGTTCCTTGAACATGAACATCTTACAAGAGAAAATATTCTGTAGCACAACACTTTGTTCTCGGAAGCATTTCTTGGCCAGTGGCCGACAGTACATATATCTTTATTCTTAAGAGTTCTGATCACAAGCTCCAGACAATGTCATACTCTGGCCACAACAAGTGGAACTATTTGAAGTTCTTAATCATAGCCGTACCTGATGGCTGCACTCTGGACACAGTAGCACCTTTTCCTTGAAGTGATAATGATGCAAAGATTACAAAAGCCATCATGAATAGTTTCTCATTGCTGGCGAAAGATGTTTGTGTTGTTCTTGGTCTTTGATGACATCATGATGTTATCATCAGCATGTTCATGTTTAGATTTCTTAAAAAAAACGAAGAAATCAACTTGAAGCATTTGCTCCCAAAATCATACGTTTTTATTTTGGGCACAAAAAGGCTTTATATTCTTGCATATGCACATGTTTGGAGTTAAATGCCTATTTGTAAACAAAGGACTGCAGAGACTACCAACAGCACATACAAGCTGTTGTATTGGATTCTTAGGCCATTTTAAAACTCCACCTTTAGTCTGAAACTTCGTTCGGTTTGTGCAATAATTTCTTGAATTCAGAAAGTTAAGTCAATCCATAGGGGTTGGTCCCCCAAACTGGGAATTTGGGGAAAAAAAACTTTGAAACATTACTCTTCCAAATGTAGTCTGAATTATGACTTTGGAGCATCATTTGTTACTTTACTTCAAAAAGCTGATTCAACTACTGGGGACTGGTTGATGTTGCCATAAATGGGGAATTTAGCTAAACTTTTGCTTTCCAATTCTAGGATTCTTAAATTCCAAAATGCCCAAGTGGATTTCAACCTAATTTGGTGTGAAACTTTGAAAATTTTAAGGAATTAACAATTTGATTGCCAAATGACTGTTAAGACCCATGGGCATTTTGTTTATATATGGGATCAATGAAGTAGTAACAACAGTACAGACATGTGAACTGTCAAATTTTTTAGGCAACCTGCCCCTTTATCAAGACTCCAATATTATGTAAATTGTATCACATACATAGAACATAAAACAAATACAAAGTTAGAGACTAAAATCAGGAATAGTGATGCAAATTTAGGTGTCCTTCAGCTGATGTAGGCCAAAGGACTTTTATAAGGGACAAAATAAAACATAATAAGTTGTTGAATGGAGATGGTGATTCAAGTATCAGAAATGTTTTATACAAATCTTGGCACATTGTGCTATGTAGCCATTGAGCGTATATGTGATGAGATAAAAAAAATTGTGTCGCACTCCCAGGAGTTTACTGATACACCTCAGCCTCACTCTTAAAAAGGAATTGTTTGATTAAAAATAAGAACGTTTGTTGTAAAAAACAATTAATGAATGTATGTATTGTTACAATGAAATATATTTTTGATAAAAATCACTAGTTAAATGTGCAAAAATGTATAAAAAAAAAATCTTATTTTGAATATGATCAAATAGGCCCCAGATTCGTCAATTTGTATACAGAAAACTTGCCCTAGAAAACTAGATTTTCTACTTTCGGACAAAAATTAATAATGGACGCCAATTTTAAATAGGAATGAAAGCAAAAACTAAGAAACTAAATGAGAAGAGTAATAAATATGAAGAAAAGAAGTTACAGGGGGAAAAAAATCCTCACGAGGAGTAGAATGGGTGGGGCATTTCTAGTGGTGCAAGATATACTGACTGTCAGGTATGTCTGACCAGGACCCTCACGAGGAGTTGAATGGGTGGGGCATTTCTAATCCTTAGTGGTGCAAGATATACTGACTGTCAGGTATGTCTGACCAGGACCCTCACGAGGAGTTGAATGGGTGGGGCATTTCTAATCCTTAGTGGTGCAAGATATACTGACTGTCAGGTATGTCTGACCAGGACCCTCACGAGGAGTTGAATGGGTGGGGCATTTCTAATCCTTAGTGGTGCAAGATATACTGACTGTCAGGTATGTCTGACCAGGACCCTTACGAGGAGTAGAATGGGTGGGGCATTTCTAATCCTTAGTGGTGCAAGATATACTGACTGTCAGGTATGTCTGACCAGGACCCTCACGAGGAGTTGAATGAATGGGGCATTTCTAATCCTTAGTGGTGCAAGATATACTGACTGTCAGGTATGTCTGACCAGGACCCTCACGAGGAGTTGAATGGGTGGGGCATTTCTAGTGGTGCAAGATATACTGACTGTCAGGTATGTCTGACCAGGACCCTCACGAGGAGTTGAATGGGTGGGGCATTTCTAGTGGTGCAAGATATACTGACTGTCAGGTATGTCTGACCAGGACCCTCACGAGGAGTTGAATGGGTGGGGCATTTCTAGTGGTGCAAGATATACTGACTGTCAGGTATGTCTGACCAGGACCCTCACGAGGAGTAGAATGGGTGGGGCATTTCTAGTGGTGCAAGATATACTGACTGTCAGGTATGTCTGACCAGGACCCTCACGAGGAGTTGAATGGGTGGGGCATTTCTAATCCTTAGTGGTGCAAGATATACTGACTGTCAGGTATGTCTGACCAGGACCCTCACGAGGAGTTGAATGGGTGGGGCATTTCTAATCCTTAGTGGTACAAGATATACTGACTGTCAGGTATGTCTGACCAGGACCCTCACGAGGAGTTGAATGAGTGGGGCATTTCTAATCCTTAGTGGTGCAAGATATACTGACTGTCAGGTATGTCTGACCAGGACCCTCACGAGGAGTTGAATGGGTGGGGCATTTCTAATCCTTAGTGGTGCAAGATATACTGACTGTCAGGTATGTCTGACCAGGACCCTCACGAGGAGTTGAATGGGTGGGGCATTTCTAATCCTTAGTGGTGCAAGATATACTGACTGTCAGGTATGTCTGACCAGGACCCTCACGAGGAGTTGAATGGGTGGGGCATTTCTAATCCTTAGTGGTGCAAGATATACTGACTGTCAGGTATGTCTGACCAGGACCCTTTTGAAATATCAAGATCATCTCTCATTCATGCCAAGTAGGTAGCAGGTTTGGAGTTGGTTGATCCAGTGCTGCTGGTCACCACAACTCTTGTAGTGGTTATTGGGTACCACCTGCATGTCATGCCACACATGTTGAATTGTCTTGTTACAGGCAGGTCAGGGCATTTCTGTTGGACATGAGTGATTGTTGATCCTGAGATTAAGTGGTGGTTTGGTCTCCCCCACATACTGCAAATGACACTTGGCATATATGTATATAAATATTTATCTGAGTATGATAAAAGATTCTCAATATCTGAGCAACAGTTGTTCAGTTTCCTAAATATTGTGAATCCATTATTATACTTGTATACATTTAGTTACATGTTGCTTTCCTAGATGTGTAGAGTGTTGGTTGTCAATATCTTAGTCATATATTTATGTAACTGGTGTAGTTTTCCTGACTTTACTATAAAGACTTATTTCTCTGATGGCCAGTTATGATTTCATTCATTTCACCGTATGCTTACATGTTAATTCAGTGTATGAAGTCCAGTGTATACTATATAGCTTATCAGATTTAAAAGGGATTCAATTTCATTCCATTTCACAGTCAGTAAAGTTCCCTCAAAATGAACTACCCTATAAACATTCTCCATGAATGAATATACACTGGTATACATGTATAGAATATACACTATTATGCATGGGTAGAATATATGCTATTACACATGTATATTAATATACTTGTAAACAAATCGATTACACTCTTTTACCCTCAAGCCACAAATTCATGTGGTTATGAATGTTCAAAATCATACGTACCTTTAAGGAGCTGTATTTTTCTATGAAATTCAATGCCCAAGAAACCATTTGAAAAAAACCCCATGAATGTTGAATCCTTCGAAAATATATGATTTAACAGTATACATTAGTCAGATCAACCAATTCTCTCATACATACACCTATACTGTATTCTGGATAATGTTCACCCTTGTCATCCATGAACAGGGAAAGAAAAAATATAAGATGAGGGCGAAAACATAATTCTCAAAGAACGAAATGAAGATGAGACGATTTCATTTACAATGGTACAAGGGTGAAAATAACCTCTAAAATATGCTGATATACAGTATTTAATAGGAGTGATTTTCTCTCGTTACAGGTTACAAGGCATTCAGAGGTGTGTTTGAAGGTTCACACTTTCTTCAAGAAGTGGTGAAGCAATTCAAACAGAATTACGAAATGGACCATCTCGAAATGATGCTGATGAAAGTTAGGCATACATTTGCAAACACAGAAGAATATCGAAAGAATTTAGGTCCAAGTAAAAGTGCAGATGGCAAAATGATGAACATTGTTAGTACACAGATGCCCTGTTCATGGTCAACTCTGACAAAAATGTTATACCTGAAATAACAACAATGAGCATGGATGGGTCACAAGGCAGCAATACTTTATAATTAAAATCAACTTGGAATATTTTATCAAATGACATTTTCCATTCCTACCTTAAGGTTAAGATAATTCTTCATCAGCAAAATTTATATTGTATCCCTACGCCAACTGGGAATGTTTTGTCACACAACATTTTTCAGCCCGAAGTTAAAATCATTCTTCATCATCAAAGACAGAAACATTGTCTCAATATAGATCACTGGTAAAAACTGGTCAAGTCAAATTTTAGTTTTTGTGTATTAGAATTTCTTAATCATAAATATTCATTTATTCTATTTTTATAGTATATATGATTTCTGAATCATAAATCTTTTTGTTTACCCTATTTTCAGTGTAAATGAAATTTCTTAATCAAAAATATTTTATAGTACATATATATACAAATTTCTGAATTATAAATCTTTGTGTATCATATTTTGATTAAAGAATTTTTTATTCATAATCTATTTTGATTGTGTGTTAAAATTTCTGAATTATCAGTCATTTGCATCTTGTATAATCTTGATATTATACTAGATATTATTCATATTCATTTTTTGAAAATATTTTTACTGATTTTACCTATTTAATTTCACATGTCGAGGATCACACAAATGAACACATCTTAAGACTTGTTACAATCTTTTATAGAATGAAAACTTGTTAAGATCTTGTGTGTATTGCCAAGCATGTGCTTATTGCTATATATATACAACCACTTAGATATATGTATAGGATCTAAAATACATACAGGATCTAACATGCATATAGGATCTTACATACAAGTGGGATCTTACATACAAGTGGGATCTTACATACAAATGGGATCTTACATACAAGTGGGATCTTACATACAAGTGGGATCTTACATACAAGTAGGATCTTACATACAAGTGGGATCTTACATACAAGTGGGATCTTACATACAAGTGGGATCTTACATACAAGTGGGATCTTACATAGGATCTTACATACAAGTGGGATCTTACATAGGATCTTACATACAAGTGGGATCTTACATACAAGTGGGATCTTACATACAAGTAGGATCTTACATACAAGTGGGATCTTACATACAAGTGGGATCTTACATAGGATCTTACATACAATTGGGATCTTACATACAAGTGGGATCTTACATAGGATCTTACATACAAGTAGGATCTTGTATACAAGTGGGATCTTACATAAATGTGTGACTGATGCATGCTATGTATTTTGTTTGTTGCCTACTTTGAACATGGTTAAAACATTTGTTAGGGGATGAAATGACAACAGATGCACTGGTCCTATATACAAGTTCATTATTTATATCAGTTTGAATTTGTTCAGCACTAGCTTCATTGTATTTCTATTTGGACAGAAGCTGTAGATAAAGATTGACAAATTTATCATGTAAGAATCCTAACAGGTCAACACAAAAAAATTCAAACTTTTCCTTAAAGTAGAGGGTGAGTTTAATGCAGGATAATGAAGTAGTGTTTGTTAGAATTTTAACATATGTGTGATAGACATGTGGGGTTAATTACCATGACCCAGCAGCATTGATATATTTTACAAATAATTAATTAAATCTGATTTTATAGGTATTGGACAACAGACATTCTGTCAATCACCATTCCAGACAGGTTTAAGTCCACATATACACATCATTTGGCAAACATTACGAGATTCAGAAATTTTCTTCTTAATTATGCAAAGATAAGATTAACACATTCTAAAACTTAGCAGTATCTACTAAGAAACACTTTTGGGGGATATCGAAATAAGATTAATAAAAGTGGGTCGCACTGAAATAGATGTTATACGAAATTCAATTCAATTCATACTCAAATGTACACATGTAGTAAGTGCGTTTACCGGTAAAGATTTTTCCAACTTCTTATCAGCAAAGATCGTAATTGAAGGCATGTTTACATGAAGTAAATATCAACGGCACTTATATAAATATACATGTATCAATATCAATATAACATGTATTTTCTCTTTGCATTTTAGGTAAAGTTTTGTATATTGGGGCTTCAATGTTGGATAATTTGTAATTAGAGATGATAGTGTTGTTTGGAGTATAAATAGGTGTGATAATTTCCAGTATTTCATGGATACTGCATACCTGTATGGAAATTGTGTGGAACAATAAAAATTTCAAAATCTTTTATTAAAATGTCTTGTTTTTGAATATTTTGAGAATAAAGTGTGATTAATGACACTGTACTGTGTTTGATTCCCTTCTGATTTTAGGACTGATCAGAAAAACAAAATGGCTGACAGCCATCTTGGAATTTGACAATAAAAGATTGTTATCGCCATTCCTTCAGAAGTGTTGAATGAATCTTTCTCAAATTTCGTTTATAGGGTTCCCCTTGGCTCTTAGATTGCACTTCTGATTTTGAAGAAAAACAAATTGACTGATGGATGACCATCTTGGACTTTGACCATGCTATTTCATTAGAAGGCAGGTTTCCTTTGCTCAATAGTTGCGCCCATTTGTTTTGGGGACTGATCAGAAAAACAAAATAGCTGATGAGGGGTCACCTTGGATTTGGCAGTTTGAAATAATATCACAATATTCTAATCTTATATAGACATGATCAAAACAGTTCATATCATTAAACTTTGTTCCTATTAATGATGAAATGTTTCACATAAAGATGTATGGAGATATTTCACATTTATCTAGACATTTCACATCTATGGAGAACTTTCTCACATATATGGAGAGCTGTTAAGAGATGTGTCATTCTATAGATTAAAACCAGCTTTCCACACTGCTGTTTGAGGATTTTATTTGATCTATTTTATCAGAATTCATTTGCCAAATTGAAAGCTCAATAACAGACACATGATTCATATTGCAATATCTATATGAAAGATCAAGAAGTCATTCAAGGTCACAGGTCTATATACCTTATGGAAGAAATCTAAAATGTATGACATGTTGGTAAAAAGAGAAAACACATACATGTTAATTTATTTACATTTTATTAAAATTTTGATAAAAAGTATATTACAAAAAGGTACATTGCCATGACAATAAATACAATGACCAAAGCAAGTGCTCATCAACTTGGCCTTGACCTCTACTTGGGTTAAACACAAATGTAATCATGACCCAAGATTTCATACGTCTTTTCTTTGTCACAAATTCTTTACGACTTTTTCTAACAAGTAAATGTGGCACACTTATTGAAATCAAATTAGATTGACTACATCCTAAACTGATTCAAAAAGACCTTCATTAAAGAGGTATAATATATGGCGATAATACGCAACAGAGGAGAATGACCATGACTCCTTATCATAAGGAACAAAAAATCTGTCATTGGTGTATGCTTCATTCTCACAAGGATGATAACGCTTTGATTTTTCTGAGCATGCTTCAATGTCAGAAAATTCAATAAAAATCCATACATCTTTGTTTGAACCCAAGCTGTAGCTCTAAATGGGTTTTTTTTTCACAAGAAGTTTAGTATCTTGCATCTTTTGGCAAAACATTTTTAGACTTAAAATTTACTCTCTCACAGCTTCTTTATGTCCTTCATGGATTTTATTTTCAACATTAGTGAAATACTACACGGAATCGGCAAAATTAAGTTACTTTTACACGGAATCTGCAAAATTAAGTTACTTTTACACGGAATCGAGGCTTAAGTAATCGTATTTAGTGACCTTGGTCTTCTAGGTGACCTTTGTCTCCTAAGTAATCTTTGGCTCAACTGACCTTGGACTACTTTCGAGGTGTCAACAAGAAGTCACCATTCAAGCAGCATATCTAAACCTACATCCACTAACCCATCACTGGATCCACAACCAATCAGGAATGTCCTACCAAAAAACTGAAAACCACAACCAATCAGGATGTCGTGACAATTAATTGAAACCACAACCAATCAGGATGTTGTGACAATTTATTGAAACCACAACCATTTAGGAATGTCCTTACAAATTAAGAGCATCTTTTGTATTAACTAGATCAATGAAGAGTTTTTAGTGATGGTATAAATATATTTTATATTACTGAATAATATCAAATGACTAAAACACCTCACTGCCTATAGAACATAAACCCTACCAACAACACTTCACTTAACACCTAACTGCCTATAGAACATAAACCTGACCAACAACACTTCACTTTACACCTAACTGCCTATAGAACATAAACCTGACCAACAACACTTCACTTAACACCTAACTGCCTATAGAACATAAACCCTACCAACAACACTTCACTTAACACCTAACTGCCTATAGAACATAAACCTGACCAACAACACTTCACTTTACACCTAACTGCCTATAGAACATAAACCTGACCAACAACACTTCACTTTACACCTAACTGCCTATAGAACATAAACCTGACCAACAACACTTCACTTTACACCTAACTGCCTATAGAACATAAACCTGACCAACAACACTTCACTTTCCACCTAACTGCCTATAGAACATAAACCTGACCAACAACACTTCACTTTACACCTAACTGCCTATAGAACATAAACCTGACCAACAACACTTCACTTAACACCTCACTGCCTATAGAACATAAACCTGACCAACAACACTTCACTTAACACCTCACTGCCTATAGAACATAAACCCGACCAACAACCCCTCACTGCCTATAGAACATAAACCCCACCAACAACACATCACTTAACACCTCACCGCCTATAGAACACAAACCCTACCAACAACACTTCAGTGCCTATAGAACACAAACCCGACCAACAACACCTCACTGCCTATAGAACATAAACCCCACCAACAACACATCACTCAACACCTCACTGCCTATAGAACACAAACCCTACCAACAACACTTCACTTAACACCTCACCGCCTATAGAACACAAACCCTACCAACAACCCCTCACTGCCTATAGAACACAAACCCTACCAACAACACTTCACTTAACACCTCACCGCCTATAGAACACAAACCCTAACAACAACACCTCACTGCCTATAGAACACAAACCCTACCAACAACACTTCACTTAACACCTCACCGCCTATAGAACACAAACCCTAACAACAACACCTCACTGCCTATAGAACACAAACCCGACCAACAACACTTCACTTAACACCTCACCGCCTATAGAACACAAACCCAACCAACAACACTTCACTGCCTATAGAACACAAACCCTACCAACAACACTTCACTTAACACCTCACCGCCTATAGAACACAAACCCTAACAACAACACCTCACTGCCTATAGAACATAAACCCTACCAACAACACATCACTTAACACCTCACCACCTATAGAACACAAACCCAACCAACAACACTTCACTTAACACCTCACCGCCTATAGAACATAAACCCTAACGACAACACCTCACTGCCTATAGAACATAAACCCTACCAACAACACATCACTTAACACCTCACCGCCTATAGAACACAAACCCAACCAACAACACATCACTTAACACCTCACCGCCTATAGAACACAAACCCTACCAACAACACCTCACTGTGTTTAGTACACAAACCTTACCGATAACACCTCCCTGTCTACAGAACACAAACCTTACCAACAACACTTCCTGTCTACAGAACACAAACCTTACCAACAACACCTTCCTGTCTACAGAACACAAACCCTACCAACAACACCTCCCTGTCTACAGAACACAAACCTTACCAACAACACTTCACTGCCTATAGAACACAAACCCTACCAACAACACATCACTTAACACCTCACCGCCTATAGAACACAAACCCTACCAACAACACCTTACTGTGTTTAGTAAACAAACCTTACCAACAACACCTCACTGTGTTTAGTACACAAACCCGACCAACAACACCTCACTGTCTACAGAACACAAACCTAATCAACACTTCACTGCCTATCGAATACTAACCTGACCTACAACACTGTTTCATATTTCATATAAGAATTTATTATCAAAATGTGCCAAACCAGAATATCTGTAGCCACATTTTCCATCTTTTCTTTCATTGTTTCCTAAAATAAGATATCTTGCAAGCGTTTAACACGTCAGCTTTTTTAAGTGTTCTGCATGTAAGCTATTTAGCAAGGGTTCTGCATGTCTGCTTTTTCTCAAGTGTTCTGCGTGTAAGCCATTAGCAAGGGTTCTGCAAGTTGGCTATTCAGCAAGGGTTCTGCAAGTTGGCTATTTAGCAAGTATTCTGCGTGTAAGCCATTAGCAAGAGTTCTACAAGTTGGCTATTAAGCAAGAGTTCCAAATGACAACTTTCTAGTAAGAGTCCTAAATGACAACTTTCTATTAATAGTTCCAAACGATAACATTCTAGCAATTGTTCACTTTGATTTTGATACATTAAATACATGTATATAGTTTACAATGTTTAAGCTACATTTGGAAATCTGCAAAATTTTAAAGGATTAACATTACGACATTGTATCTGTAATGAAAAGATAGTTTCAGTCAGTCCTGTGGCGGTATCAGGGCACTAGTCATTTCTGTTGTGGTATCAGGGCACTAGTCATTTCTGTTGTTGTATCAGGGCACTAGTCAGTTCCGTTGTTGTATCAGGGCACTAGTCAAGTCCTGATGTTGTATCAGGGCACTAGTCAGTTCCGTTGTTGTATTAGGGCATTAGTCAAGTCCTGTTGTTGTATCAGGGCACTAGTCAGTCCTGTTGTTGTATCAGGGCATTAGTCAAGTCCTGTTGTTGTATCAGGGCATTAGTCAAGTCCTGTTGTGGTATCAGGGCACTAGTCAGTCCTGTTGTGGTGTCAGGGCACTAGTCAGTTCCGTTGTTGTATCATGGCACTAGTCAGTCCTCTTAAGGTATCAGGGCACTAGTCAGTTCTGTTGTGGTATCAGGGCACTAGTCAGTCCTGTTGTGGTATCAGGGCACCAGCCAGTTATGATGTGGTATTAGGGCACTAGTCAGTCCTGTTTTGGTATTGGGGCACTAGTCAGTCCTGTTTTTGCATCACACCACAAGATCAATTAAGTGTCTAGTGCTTTGTAAACAACACGTGATAACACACACTTATCCTCAAATTCTGATTAAACAATCTTCTCATATAACCATGTATAAAACCATAACTAAGTCAATTCTTGTTTTTTTTCAAATTCATATTGAAAAATTATAAAAAATATAACAGTAATGTAAATTTTTTGTTGCATTATAAAATGAGTATATGTTTTGAACACAAGTGTTATACATGTATAAAAATAGCAATGATAATAAATCATACATTTTAAGATGCCTATATCTAGTCCTGTCTCCCTTACATTTACGGTCTCTTCTCCAGTCTTGTGATATACAAGAAATATCCAACACACATGACAAAACACAACAATTCATAGTTATTCTTTTACATCTGTTGATCAAGTGGAGTCAACAGCACTCTGTGAATGTTGTGTGGAGTCAACAGCACTCAGTGAATGTTGTGTGGAGTCAACAGCACTCAGTGAATGTTGTGTGGAGTCAACAGCACTCAGTGAATGTTGTGTGGAGTCAACAGCACTCAGTGAATGTTGTGTGGAGTCAACAGCACTCAGTGAATGTTGTGTGGAGTCAACAGCACTCAGTGAATGTTGTGTGGAGTCAACAGCACTCAGTGAATGTTGTGTGGAGTCAACAGCACTCAGTGAATGTTGTGTGGAGTCAACAGCACTCAGTGAATGTTGTGTGGAGTCAACAGCACTCAGTGAATGTTGTGTGGAGTCAACAGCACTCAGTGAATGTTGTGTGGAGTCAACAGCACTCAGTGAATGTTGTGTGGAGTCAACAGCACTCAGTGAATGTTGTGTGGAGTCAACAGCACTCAGTGAATGTTGTGTGGAGTCAACAGCACTCAGTGAATGTTGTGTGGAGTCAACAGCACTCAGTGAATGTTGTGTGAAGTCACCTGTAGTCAACTAATGTCGTAGCATCAGCAATCAGTAAATGTTTGTGACAGACAGGGCAAAAATAATACTGTGCAGGTTAAATGAATAAGTTAAACCTGCACTGGTAACAAGTCAGACTATTCCATGACCAGAATAACTGTACTTATATAGTAGGTGGTGCAGTTACTCTCAAGGTAACATAGTTAAAATTTGTAACAGTCCTAGTTATCTCTTGTGTAATGCAACCAGTAAAAACATCTTAGAGTGATTTTTTTTTTCTTGTACAAAACTCCATGACAACATTTACACAAGTTCTGTTACATTTCTGCGCCTAGGAACAATTCCTCAGATCAAATCTATCAAACATAAAAGCAGTTGGTATCTACAACATAGCTATCCTACAGATGAACAATACAGTAATTCTGCTTGATTGCATCTGAAGAACACTCTAGTATAGTAAAGTTTAAATGCCTCACTTCTCCATAATTCCAGTTTGTCAAACTTTGAGTCATCACTGCAGTGTAAATTTTACTGTGATAGCACCAATGTAGAAGTCTGTGTTTACCAGTGCAGTCTAATGAAATGGTTAAAATCATGGCAAGTCTATGAATGATAGTGAACAGGAAAAAAACAACAAATTTTGATCAATAAACAATATGCATTGTAAAAATAGTGGTAGACTTAAACAAAATACCAAGTGTATAAATGTAAATTGATTAAAATAAAGAAGCAATACTAATAAAAGTGGAATATACTTGTGACTGGTACTGTATACAATGAATCACTGGTGGGACCTTTGTCTCTACATCTAAACAATATACACAAGGAACAAATGGACAGAATGCTATACAAAATTCTTTCCAATGAAGACTTTAGAGTTTTAGTTTCATTGATTGTCTATAGTAATGACAAAGTTTCTTTCAACTGAAGTCTAATTTGTCATATTGTATTTCCATGTTTTGTCTATGCAACAAAAAATCCCATGTTAAATAATATATGTGTATGGGACAGTTTAATAAATGCCTCCTGTGTATTTCAAAGTCCACTTACCCATAAATTCTACTACAAATGGCCCTCGCAGTGAAAGTAGATACAAAAGTGTCAACTGTGTAACATTACCGCATTTAAGACATCTGAGAAAATACATGATAGCAATGGAGTAAACATTTTCCCTATATGTGAAATCCTAAATCTTGAGCTGCATGTACTGACAAAAGGTCAGTTACAATATTACAGCACAGCTGTACAGGCAATATTATATGTATAAATATCTATCTATTGTTAAAACACTTGTAGCAAAAGTAATCTTACATTACACAATAAAAGAGTATAAAAAATGTGGTGTAACACCAAGCAGAAAAAACACTCTGGTGTCATTGCCATGAAAATAAATGAATCCGATTCATTTTGAACGCTAACCACGAAACATCCAAATATAAATCTAAACCTCAGTAAACAAACTTATTTTTACACAATCAAATTTTAGCGCATAATCATTGTTTGGCAAATAAGCCCACTAGTCACTAAATAAATTGCATATAGAACCTGTGCTTTGCACATTCATTATTTCGCACAATCCATTGAGTGTGAAAAGTGCTAAAATATGATTACTATGTAAAAATGTACAGTATATTCTGCAATCACAACATATCTACCAGTGACTAATAATCCTAGAAAGTATTCAACCAATAGTTTTCAAAAATCAATAATACTGTATTTATCCTTTAATAATAAGCCTGAGGATCTACTGTAATACTTCTTACTCAAAATCAGGGGATGGGCTTCTACACATTCATTTATGGCATTGGGTTTCCATCTCATCACATATCTACAACCAAGGTCTTTTTGTAATGGTTTTCTTGTAGCAGCTGGTGGCTACCTCACTGAACATCACATGGGTAGTCTGTCCAAAGAAACTGATGTAAAGTGTTTTTCCAAAGGACACAACCACACAGACCAGTTCTCTTCTCAGCTTCCAGAGAGATACAAACTGGACACAACCACACAGACCTGTTCTCTTCTCAGCTTCCAGAGAGATACAAACTGGACACAACCACACAGACCAGTTCTCTTCTCAGCTTCCAGAGAGATACAAACTGGACACAACCACACAGACCAGTTCTCTTCTCAGCTTCCAGAGAGATACAAACTGGACACAACCACACAGACCAGTTCTCTTTTCAGCTTCCAGAGAGATACAAACTGGACACAATCACACAGACCAGTTCTCTTCTCAGCTTCCAGAGAGATACAAACTGGACACAACCACACAGACCAGTTCTCTTCTCAGCTTCCAGAGAGATACAAACTGGACATAACCACACAGACCAGTTCTCTCCTCGGCTTCCAGAGAGATACAAACTGTCATGGGTAGAAGCATGAAGCAGATATCTGGGATCTTGACCTGGGGTATATAAAATGACTGGTTTATGACTTTACTGCACAGTAATAGGTTTAGGTGGACTTATTACCAGTCGCCCCATCTTATCAGGAAAAAAATTTAAAAAAATAACAGAAATAAATATGCATTAAAAAACAGTCACAATAAGCAGTCCATAATGTTGGTAGTGAAAACAGGACTGTCTTTCCGGTAAGTTAGTTAACAAATTGTATTGATTTGCAAATATTCAAGATCACCTTAAATAGAAAAGGCACTCAATCTAAATTACTTATCAATATTTTTTGGTTGAATCCAAAACCACTCATACTTGAGAACCTTTCATCAGACCTTCACAGGACAAATCGTTCTTCTATAAAAATCATGTTTTATAATCTTCTTAAGACCAAATCAAATCATGAAACTATCTTGATTCAGAATTTCAGAGGTTTTAAACATGGTTCTTATTTCCAATGATTATAATATAGATGATTTTGTTACGTGGAAAAAGAATTTAATTATGTGCAAAAGCAGAATTTGTCTAAAAATGCTTATTTCACATCCAATGAAATGCTAGACCTACAGTAATGGAGAACTTTCACAATACATATAACCATAGCATCTATAGACAGTGTGATATAGAGTTATAGCATCTATATACAGTGTTATAGCATCTATATACAGTGTGTTATAACATCTATATAGTGTTATAGCATCTATATACAGTGTTATAGCATCTATATATGGTGTTATAGCATCTATATACAGTGTTATAGCATCTATATATAGTGTTATAGCATCTATATACAGTGTTATAGCATCTATATACAGTGTTATAGCATCTATATAGTGTTATAACATCTATATACAGTGTTATAGCATCTATATACAGTGTGTTATAACATCTATATAGTGTTATAGCATCTATATACAGTGTTATAGCATCTATATATAGTGTTATAGCATCTATATACAGATTGTTATAACATCTATACACAGTGTGTTTTAACATCTATATACAAATTGTTATAACATCTATATACAGAGTGCTATAGCATCTACATACAGAGTGCTATAGCATCTACATACAGAGTGCTATAGCATCTACATACAGAGTATATGTAAATATAGTAGCAATACTGAATCTCTTTAAACTTTCCTTATGGCATTAATTAAAACTGCTTGTATTGCACAATTTTTATAACATGCACCTTTTGACCCAAAGTGACCTCAACCTGCAAATAGTCCCCTCTCTACCTCTTGACCCCTAAGCCACAGCAATTTCTGCAGTAATGGTAGGAGTAGAGTCCTCTATTTTCTTTCCCTCCTCCACATCTCTTGTCAGTTCCTCTTCCTTTACTTCTTTCTCAGAATCCTTTACTTCCTCCGTTTTCTCAGATTCCTTGACTTCTTCCTTCTCCACATCCTGAATCTTTTCCTCTTTCTCAGTATCTTTTTCTCCTTCCTTTTCTGTTTCCTTTATTTCTTCTTCTTTCCCAGAATCTTTCACTTCTTCCTCATGTTCATCTTTCTCACAAACTGCAGTCTCATCTGGTTTATCATCTTCATCAGCAAATTTCATTTCGTCTTCAGTTTTGTCAACAATTTCTGAATATGAAAATATCACAGAGATCATTTTCAGGATATTTTTCAACAGATCTATGAAAATTTTACCATAGAACTTTAAATCTTGGCCTTTGACCTGGACCTATAGCTCACCTTTGATATCCTCCTTTGTTTCTTCTATGTCTCCACTGGGGCCAGCTGTTTCTTCAGGCGCCACAGCCTTCTTCACCTTCTTAGACTTTTTCGGACTGGGTTTCGGTTCCTCTGGGGGAGGAATGGGAGCATCAAGGGGTTCATAACCTTCAAGGTGGCAGTACCTGGCACTCAGCTCATAAACTGATGTCTGCAATTCCTCATTTCTGGACTCTTCTGAAGACACAGACTCCACCATGTCCTTGTAGTACTTACCAGTCACACCTGTAATAAGTATGAAACACCAAAAACTATAAAATATTTACCAGTCACATCTATAATTAATATTTACCAGTCACACCTTTAATTAATATTTAACAGCCACATCTATAATTAATATTTACAAGCAACACCTGAAATTAATATTCCCCTGCCACACCTATAAGTAACATTCGTCAGCCACACCTATAAGTAACATTCGTCAGCCACATCTATAATTAATATTTACTAGCAATACATTTAATTAATATTTACCAGTCACATCTACAATTAATATTTACTAGCAACACATTTAATTAATATTTACCAGTCACATCTATAATTAATATTTACCAGTCACATCTAAAATTAATATTTACCAGTCACATCTATAATTAATATTTACCAGTCACACCTATAATTAATATTTAACGGTCACATCTATAATTAATATTTACCAGTCACATCTATAATTAATATTTACCAGTCACATCTATAATTAATATTTACCAGTCACACCTATAATTAATATTTAACGGTCACATCTATAATTAATATTTACCAGTCACATCTATAATTAATATTTACCTGTCACATCTATAATTAATATTTACCAGTCACACCTTTAATTAGTATTTAACAGCCACATCTATAATTAATATTCATCAGCATCACCTATGATTAATATTTGCCAGCCACATCTATAGATAATATCTTTGAGCCACATCTATAATTAATATTTACCAGCCACATCTACAGTTAATATCTATGAGCCACATCTATAATTAATATTTGCCAGTCACACCTATAATTAATACTTACTTGTCACAAATAATCATTAGTTACCAGTCATGATTTAATTAGTACTTACTGGACTCATCTATAATTAGTTACTGATGATGTTGCCAGAAAAATCAATCCTATGTCTCATTAAGTGACTCTTCACAAACACAACTAAATGTTCATAAGCTCAAGAAACACCAACTCTTAAAGTGTATGTCAAATATCTAACACTTTATCAACCCTTGAACAAACAATTAATGGATTGTGGGTGAAAAAAGGATCATAAAAATTGAAGAATTATTCATGATTATTATAATATTTCTGTGAAATACAATTTTTTTTTTGTATTTTTGTTTTATTTTCTTTTCTTACATGCCTCTATCATCATTACCTTTAAGTTCTTCATTAACAACAAGATCCACCACAGCTTTAGCTCCGTTCTCCAGTGTCTTAACAGGCTTCATCACTGGGCGTAACATTGTTCCCAGAATGTATCGCAAGAAGAACTTCTGCCCTCCTCCAGCATGTCGACACAACTCGGTACTGGGTATAAAGCCTGAAATAAATTCACATAAAGATAAAGTTGACAAATATCTTCTTCCCGTTTTGAGAAAATTTGAACTAGATATGGAACATTAGAATATACAGTAAAAATTGTGGTATCCTGCTGTACTGCAGATAATCTGATAATGTATGAACAAAAACAGAACTTCCTGTATACACTGAAGACAACTTCACTGGACAGTGTGTGTTAAAAGTCACTCCTCATAACCTGTAGACAACTTACCTGGACAGAGTGTGTTGACATGTCACTTTCCTATTTTGCAAAGACAATTTACCTAGGCAGAGTGTTAAAAGTCACCCCCACTAATTTGGAGACAACTTACTTGAACAGAATGTGTTGACCATCAATCCTCATACCCTGTAGACAACATAGCTAGACAAAGTTTGTTGACCGTCAATCATTGTACCATGTAGACAACAAACCTGGACAGAGTGTGTTGACAGTTACTCCAGTGCCCTGTAGACAACATACCTGGACAGAGTGTGTTGACAATCACTCCAGTGCCCTGTAGACAACATACCTGGACAGAGTGTGTTGACAGTCACTCCAGTGCCCTGTAGACAACTTACCTGGACAGAGTGTGTTGACAGTCACTCCAGTGCCCTGTAGACAACATACCTGGACAGAGTGTGTTGACAGGACAGAGTGTGTTGACAGTCACTCCAGTGCCCTGTAGACAACTTACCTGGACAGAGTGTGTTGACATTCACTCCAGTGCCCTGTAGACAACATACCTGGACAGAGTGTGTTGACAGTCACTCCAGTGCCCTGTAGACAACATACCTGGACAGAGTGTGTTGACAGTCACTCCAGTGCCCTGTAGACAACATACCTGGACAGAGTGTGTTGACAGTCACTCCAGTGCCCTGTAGACAACTTACCTGGACAGAGTGTGTTGACAGTCACTCCAGTGCCCTGTAGATGTTTTGACAGCTCATATGTGGTCAGAACCATTGCTAATTTCGAATTTTTGTAGCTAAGTTGATTGTTATAGGTTCCTTCCTTCTCCAGGAAAAAATTCTCCACATCCAATGGCTGTCCTAATATACAACATAATAATAACTTCATATTAATTATGCTAAGAAAGTCTAGTGCAGTAATGCTTTTGCTGTAATGATATATGAATTTTTTTCTACATGAAAAAAATACCAATATTTTCTTTGAAATTTGAAAGATAATCTTAATATTTCCCCAAGTTTAGGAATGTAACCCACTGTTCAGATTGGGAGAACAAAAACAGCAAAAATATCACTGGCGTCAAAATGCAATATTTTCCAAACCAACTTGAAATTTGAATATCCTATTAGGTTTTAATGGTACTTCTTATCTAAACAGTATTTGGAATCTGAATCACTTAAAGCTATCTATAAACAATTTTTTCTCCTCTAAGAAGATTGACTTTCTGAAAACGGAATTTTATGATATGCAAACTTACTCCTTGCAGCGTTCTTTGGTGGCATGGCTGAGTCATGAAGAGAGGAAGTCACATTAATGATACGACAATCTGCATCACTGTCTTCTGCAGTCTTCTTCAAGTCCTCCAGTAACAAATGAGTCAACAGGAAAGGTCCTACAAAAATATATACAATAACATTGATCAGTGTAGGAAAGGCTCTTCTTTAACATTGTTCTGTGTATGTGATTTATATTGTTCTCATGTTTGCAGCCTACTCATAGATAACAATTTGCACATTCCTACATAGAGATGTTGCAAACACTTGCACAAGATGATTCCATCTTTGAATTTCTTCTTGTGTGTCACAAGGTTTATGTACATATACAAGTTCTGAATTATTTCTCTAATGACAAGTGTTTCAAATAGGAGTAACCTATATCAACTGCTTTGATTCTGTTTCAATGCATCTTGCAATTTTCAATCATTAAAAGATGTTGCCAGATATGGCAATATGATCAACTCCCACAACATACTGTTAAGCATTTCATTACTTTTAGTAAGCATTCACATGCATTATGAATGCCAAATGGTAAATTCAATTAAACATCGATAAGTGCTGATGTTGAATTGACTTTATCAAGTTGGCATTCATACTGCCTATCAATGCCAACAAGTTCAATGCCATATATTACTTTTGTTCAGTTATATGTGGATGCATCCACAATTGATTTGCATCAATTGCAAGACTTTTACTTTTACACCATCACAAGTATGAAATGATGAGAATAACTTACCAAGATGGTTTGTTCCCATGGTAAGCTCAAAATTATCAGCTGTAAATTGTCGTCGAGTGTCATTGGACAGAAACACACCAGCATTGTTCAACAGCACATGTAGCTTCTTTCCAGTGGCATGGAAATCATCTACAAACTTTCTCACAGATGCCAGGTCACCGAGGTCACACTAAAGGGAAAAAAAACCAGGGCAATTATGCTGATCAGTAATAGAGAGTTAGGAATGTCTTCCATGATTATATAATATGACATTGCATGCCATATTACTATTTTATCAGTATTATACTGTGGTTGGTAGATATAATAAATACCTGCAGCCCTATTTTTCATACTATGAGACTACTGTTCGTACATAGATATACCTACAATACTATTTTTAATACTATATAAGACTATGGTTGGGTGGTATATGTACCCACAATACTATTTTTTATACTTAATGAGTCTATGGTAAGTAGTTACAGATACATCAAGACTACGGTTGGTAAGTAGATATACATGAAGTACTATTATTATACCATACAAGAATACAGTTGGTAAGTAGATATACATGCAGTACTATTATTTTACCATACAAGGCTACAGTTGGTAAGTAGATATACATGCAGTACTATTATTATACCATACAAGACTACGGTTGGTAAGTAGATATACATGAAGTACTATTATTATACCATACAAGAATACAGTTGGTAAGTAGATATACATGCAGTACTATTATTTTACCATACAAGGCTACAGTTGGTAAGTAGATATACATGCAGTACTATTATTTTACCATACAAGGCTACAGTTGGTAAGTAGATATACATGCAGTACTATTATTTTACCATACAAGGCTACAGTTGGTAAGTAGATATACATGCAGTACTATTATTTTACCATACAAGGCTACAGTTGGTAAGTAGATATACATACAGTACTATTATTTTACCATACAAGGCTACAGTTGGTAAGTAGATATATATGAAGTACTATTATTATACCATACAAGACTACAGTTGGTAGGTAGATATATATGAAGTACTATTATTATACCATACAAGAATACTGTTGGTAGGTAGATATACACACAACACTATACTATATGCGGCTAAATTTGGTAGGTAGGAGGAACTACCTGCATGAATGTGGCCAATGCATTTGGTGACTTCTTGAATATCTTTTCAATGGCTGTCTTGGCCCGTTCTTCACTGCGGCAGGCCAGAATTACATCATTTCCTGCCTCACACAGCTGTTCCGCAGCACGGAATCCAATTCCCGAGTTAGCTCCAGTTATGATAATGACACGCCCTGTCATGATTAAGGTAGTTTTGCTCTCACTGTTGGAGGAAAAGTAACAAAATTTGTAGTTACAGTAAGAGGTCAGAATGCTGAAATTGATACATAAAATCTTCCATTATTTTGACAGAATTCCAAATTTTTGAAATTTACTCAATCAAAATTTTGTCTCTCTTAACAAATCAAACCATTATTTCTCTGCAACCGTTCTTATTGATTTCAAATTATAAAGGGGTTTTTATATGCATTACATAAATTGTCCACAAACATGCAACAATGGTCAATACTAACAGTTTTGGCGTCGAGATTTTCCATCATACACACTACACATCAATTTGCTCATGGAAGGAAATTATTATAACTTATATCTACATATGATCACTTCACAGACCAAGACAACAGTAAGTAACTAGAAGGCCCCGCCCATCTGTCGTCCTGATGCAAAAATAGTATGTATAACTATATATTCAGACATATGTTTGCAGTTGAAATACGGCTAACAATAAAATACAAATCAAATGTTCGCCAAAAGTGTACAAAATGATAAAAATGGAATCCAGTCAAAGGTATGAGGGATGCAAAAAAAATAAACTAGGCCTACGTTTTGTTTTGCAGCGGCCGCAAAAGCTGAAGAACCTAGCAAATATGTTCTTAGATATTGCTGCATGTGTGGAGCTTAGCCCGTAAACAGAGCATCAAATTACATCTACTTTCATTATGTTAATGCAATGAACTAACGTTGCATTGCAATCATAATTTCATGCATGGTTAGGCCTACCTGATGAAATTCTGCGCTTTCTTTCTGTTAAGTTTTGGCGCGACACAGGAAGTGAAATAAATCGTACTTGACCCACGACGATTGCAGATTAATACGCGAGTTAGCATCATATGGGAGCAGCATGGCGTACTTTCTGTTTATGCTAACATAAATAAGTAAAAAATCGAAATAATGTCACTTGAAAGGAAATACGGACTGATTATTGTAAACAACGGAGATACCGTACAGTTGGAACTATATTATATAGATTTAGAATTGTGATTAGGCACTTCCGTCATCAGAGTTATCTCCCCATTACCAAGACAGATTAACCTACTCTTTATAACTGGTCACAAGAAGACAAGTGATAGAGAATAAAACTTGTTTGATCCACTTCTGCCACCGCCAGGCGTTGGACCGTTCATATCTCCATTCCATGGAGAGATAGGAATATCGACTTTTTATATCTATTTAGATCTTTGACATGCTACAGCGAATAAATTTGAATTAATTAGCCTGGCTTCGTTTCTAAGGAAATACTCTTTTTCAAAACAAGTTGAAAGCTTAAAAATCAGGTTTATCATGCTATCTTTTCTGAGAATAAAACTTCTGCCAATATTTTTCGAAGAAACGCATGTCTCAGAAATAAACCCTATATTGTATACCACTTTCACAACGATGGCTTTGAAATGCTGAGTAATCTTCCATTGACACATTCTTTTTATAACAAATTCTGGTTATTTATTCTTAATTTTGTTACGAAAATGAGCTTAACTTCTTCCTGTTCGACAAACTAGCTGTAGTCAGGCCGGTCAGTGTTAATTGGCACTATGATGTTATAGCCCAACTAGAAGTGAGTAGATATATATAAACATATAAGGTAAGACGAAATAGCAATAATAATATTATATTATTTAGAGGTTACATTTGTTATACGTCATACATAGTTTTCACAATGACACACAAAATATGTCCAGCCATATTTCACTTGTGAAATACTAAAAGCCATACCAACTTTAAACAATGAAATATGTCTAAACATGAAAAGTGAGAAAAAAAGAAACACTTATGCTTAGATCCGATGGTGGGCTGAGAAGTATGGAAGTGTTCATTAAATCTTGGTAAATTGGCAATTGCACTTTTTTTTTTACAAATTATGTATAGATATGCAATATATTTATCATTTGTAAAATGTTATTAAAGTTTTAGTAACTTGTGTTCAATCCTTCTGTAATTACTTTGCACGATTGAAAAAACTACAAGTTTTAAGTACTACCACGTCTCCTTTTCATGAAAAAGGGGAACTTTGATTTGGCTAAGACATATTTCAGCGATAATAACTGTTAGGAAAAGTGGGTTTCGATGATTCCACAGCTCAGTGAACAAAAACTAAAGCCAACTTCAGTCCGTGATCCAAGATTCCAGCTTACGTTTCTTTGTGGATCAGCGCAATATGAAGGAAAATTGTTACCGTGGCATTTTAAAGGCCCTTCAACAAATAAAAGATGATAAGAGCCACCAACCGGTAAAATACACACCGATCAACAAAGGAAATAACATCAAACAAAGTGAAAAGTAAAATAAAATGCTAAAACAAATTATAAGGTTATATTATCACAAAAGATTATAATTGTAAGTTATAGTCTATAATACAGGCCGACACATTTCAGATAACCTAGAATTTTATAAATCTCAACAGTTTCAAAAAGGGTCTTTAGACTTGTAATGTTACGATAAAAAATTATTGAGTAGACAGAAGGTCAATGCAGTCCAATAAAAATGATTAACGGTGAATGGCTCATCATATTCTATGCACCGGGGGTTATCTTCGCCTGCGTCAGGTATACATGGCCCATCCGAAGACAGGCAAGGACAACTTCGTCTCGGTGGTTGTCTCTATAGCATGGAGACCATTCACCGATGATAGGTTTTACGGAATGCAATTTATTGTTAGTATATTGATTCCAATCCTCCCGCCACTGAGCTATTAAAATTGTTTGATAAATGGTTTAAAATCAGTAAAATGAATTTAAAAAACAACAGGTGGTAGCGATAAAGCTTCCGTTGCGACACGATCTGCTCTTTCATTGCCTGGTATTCCCATGTGCCCAGGAAAAAGCAATACGAAAGTTAAAGCCAAGTTCATGATGTAGTATTAATCCATTACGAATAAAAATGTTCTCGATGTTTCTATTGCTAAGACTTTGTAGAGCAGAAAAAGAATCTGAATAGATAACAACTCTCATTAATTTGTTTGTTTGAATATATTCAAGGGCGAGGTAGATAGCTTGCGTATCTGCCGAGAATATTTAGGCATCCAAAGGCTTCATCTTGTGAAACCATTGCTGTGGCAACCTTATCATTATCTTTTGAACCATCAGTATATAAATGTAGAACTGTTTTTTTATATTTTAACTGCAATTTCGAGGAGGGTGAACGAAAGGTGGAACTGTCAATGTCTGATTTGACCATTTCATGAATTGAAAAGTCAATTTCAGGTGAAAGGAGGAGTGCCAATTTGGGCCTTCTGGCGGCCATGACCGATATTTTTTATTTCTTGTGTAGGAATTCCTTGGGGTTAGGCGGTCATGATATGACATAAAATTAAGGTCAGATCTGAGCCATTCATTAGTTATGGGGGGGGGGGGTAAAGTGGGGGGTAAAATTCATAAACAGCTCCATTATGACAAACCTACATTATATTTTTGGATTTTTTCTGCTTAATTTTCATGTAATAATCCATATCAAAACATTCATTAGTAAAATTGATTGAAAAAAACATTCCATTGTTGAAAAGTAGGTCATGGTAATTAAGCTCATTAATTGCTAATTATATTAAAGATGAACTTAATTTTCTGCCTTAATGCACATAAAAACAATACCTTTATCATGTGTCATGCTTTAGTAAGATTTATTTTTGAATACTTTGTAGAAAATGGAGAATTAAAAAAATATAAACTTTATTTATTTTACAACAATTGCGAAACAAGTTATGTCAACTTATACTAATCACTCTTGTTGGCCCGGATGTAAGCGCGCGAGGGGTCTTATTGTGGGAGGAAACCGGAGTACCCGGGGAAAACCCACGTGGTCCGGCAGGTGGCCCCTTACCTTTTCACGTCCGTTCCGGGAATCGAACCCCGGTCGGCTTGGTGAAAGGCGAGTGCGTTAACACTGCGCCAGAGAATTAATTAATGGGAGGGGGCGGGTTCACACTTTTGACAACTTTTGGTTGATATCAGAGTTGTCTTATGTAATTATATTAGATAATAAATATCTAATAAATAAATGTTAAATTGTACTGCATTAAGAACTGTTTAAAATAAATTGCTTGATAAATGTAGAGATATTTAAACCAGTTTGGTACGGCTGGTTGAGCTTTAAGCTAAAATGGCGGGATATAATGCCATCTCCTGACATATACCTTGTTAAGGATCTTTGTGTCTAACGGTGAGTATACATGTGCACCTTGTCTCAGACAGTTCATATACCCTTATATATACAATTAATACGTGGCAACTACACTTCACAACCTCAGCGATTTTAGTATACTTTCTTGGTTTGACTGTCACTGATATTGTACATATAATTTAGACATATAATTGTAATTCAACTGTTGTTCATAATTTTGTTCATCCAAATTAAGGTTTTAATAAGGAGTGTTTTCTAAGTTTATGCCCTGTTTTCTTTTCTTTTATCAATATGCCAGTGCACAGGCAGTGCGCTTGTTGTAAAGCACAATATAAGCTAAGGCTCTGTTGTCTGAATAAAACAGACATTCTGTCTTACTTGAAAGCAAATATTAATGATGCCTTAAGGTTTGGTGACCCCGTATGTAAAAAATGCAGGGGAAGATACTACAATCACCATTCATCTACTGAACATCCTAGTAGCGATGTAGAGCACCAGCTTGAGTCACATGAAAACAAAAAAAATCAAACTTGACATTCCACGGGCTACATTAGGTGAATCTCGATGTTTCATTTGTAAAATGTTAAGAGAGGAATGTAAAAGTAAAATGGTAATGCTCTCAACAGAAATGCGAGTAAAGATTTTTATTAAGACAGGTATCCTTGTCCCAAACACCTGCAGATGTTGTTCTTCCCACATAGTGAATGGTGATTTCCCATCTGATAGTCTATCTTCACTCGCATATTCCAGCAAAGACACTGAACTGGATTCTTCTGAAATATCAGAGATCCTTTTGACACTTAGGGCAGCTGCTTCAAAGAAAAGTTGTTTAGACTTTGATTCCTCAGATG